CCCCCCCCCCCGTGCTTTCGGGGGAGGTGCGGTAGTCCTGAAATAGTTCAATTAAATACTTTTAGTCATTTTGAGCAAAAACGCTTTAATTGAGCCTTATTTCATCGAAATCGGAGAGGAGTGAGCTTTCCTTCAGATTTACTAAAATAGGAAAAAAAAATAGGTAGGGTGCATATTTTTCGGGCTCCCCCGATTGATTATCACTGTCGGAGTCACAACAAAGGTTTTTACCAAGAAAACCGCAAGAAAATATCAAAATTCGGAAAAGGCCCTATTCTGAAGATTTACCCTAAATTTTTCCATTGGTGTCAATTAACTATGCGCCCTAATAGATAGCCGTGTATGTAAAATTCTATTAACATAACAATACAAGTTCGAACGAAGATCCTTTCATTATTTTTATAATTTGTTTCTAGTAGATCGCCGTTACGTCCTTATCACAAACCCTATGAATACACTTATAACAAAGTAAAAAAGAAGGAAATAGACGAACGGAGAGTGTTATATGTGGGACGCATAAACGAAGGAATTACCAAAACTGATCTACGTAGAAGATTTGAGGCATTTGGACCTATTGTAGATGTTAGTTTACATTTTCGTGAACGCGGGTATGTGTCTTTACAATCCACTTTATTATTTTCTTAACATTATATCATTGACTTCATTATTTTCTTGAAATTACTATTCTCATCTACAATATATGATTGATTTCAGCGATAATTACGGTTTCGTCACTTTTGAGTACAGAAATGATGCGTTTGAAGCTAAGGAGCACGGTAATGACAATCCGTCTTTACCTAGATATGATATATGCTTTGGGGGTCGTAGAGCCTTTTGCAATTCCACGTATGCTGATCTTGGTAAGAGAGAATTAATTACATTACTAATATATTGTACATATATATGTACAAAGTATTATTGTCTGATGCTTATAGCAATTATATTTTCTTAACAGACGATATGAGGAGTAACACTCCGAGATTGTCTCAAGGAAATGAAGAGGCATCCTTCGATTATCTCTTAATGCAAGCCAAAAGCATGATGAAAGAAAATAAAAGAAAAGCTTGACATACGTATTGTCTAATAGTTTTAAATATAGTTTAAACAATTATGAACATAATTAAAGTAAATTGAAAGAAGAAACGCACCTGTATCTATCCTTATGCATACGGTGCATGTATACAGTGTGTTTCGATGCTGCTCCTTTACTACAGTAAATAGTAAATATTAAGCCGCGTACTCACCAATGGAGCGAGTACCTACGAGCGTGCAACAACGAGCGTTTGCCCATATTTACATAAATGCTCGCTCGTGTTCGATCGAAATATTTGCTCTACGTCCATACTGGCACAAATTCACTCCTGTTTAAAATTTGACGAACAATGGTATAAGAATGGTATCAAGAGATACGGCAGTATCTCATGCCAAGCAGCGCCAAGTTATACGTAAATCATTTCACCTTTGATTCTAGCTTTTGAAAAAAATATACACTTAATTTATCAATGCGTTATTCCTTAATCGAAGTTAACAGAATTCTTTTTTAATATTTATTGATTGACTATATATATGACTATATATATTTACATATATATCTCATTATATATGTACATATATGATTATATATGATTATATATGATCATATAGAGACAAAATTCATATATAATTGCATTATATATAATTATATATATTTATATATAATTATATATAATCTTTTTTTCCCGGGTTTGCAATTGATTCAAAAAGTGATAGCGAGCAGATCGTATAATAGCAAGGACTCTTTGCCGTTTCCTTTTAATAACACAAGAAGTGATTGTATTTTCTTTTTAATTTCTGCTAATTTTCTGTTCTCATTAATGCAGCTAATTCTTTCTACGCATCTTTTTTTCATTTTTTACTTTATAATATTTATTAATAGCATCCCACAATGCGGGATGGATTCTGTAACTCTTTATGAGTTTCAAATTTTTATCATTTGGCCATTTTATATTGGACAGCCTTTCTGACCGAAGACACGAAATAAACTGCTCGCCGAACAGTCTAATTAAAGGAACGGTCGTTCACATCGGATAGGCGTGAACACATCTTTCCTTTGATATCCCAATATTAGCCGGATCATTTGCAAGCACGAGTGAGTTTAATTGTCTACTCGCTCGTGTTCACTAATCCGTACATAAACGATTATTGAATGCGAATGCTCGTTCCATTGATGAGTACTATATGGTTTTAGGAGCGTACAATCATTTGAAATTTTCAGATATCCAATGCCTTATACGGATTTTTTAATGTCTTTAATTATTTCCTTAACAGTACAAATATTTATTTCCTTATAAAAATCACATATATTGTAATTATGATAATTAGTACCATTCCACATTTTTACTCCATTTTTCCTTTGTCTCTTTCTCCAAATCCCAAAACACTTCTATAAGTTCTCCACACTAAAATATTACTTTTTCCACAAAATAAATGATATATTTTATTGATTTTTGTGGTTACGTAATAAGGTACGGATAATCGAAAATATTCATATGATTATTAATCAGATTTAGCAAGTACCTGATCTTTGTGAGAGTAATCGAACTTGAATGATCACGAACTTTGCTATCTGCACAGCTTTAGGAAAAATAATATGACGAGAGGCAAAATTTGCCTTAATATAGATATATTTCTGAATTTGTGGTAACGTGATTGTGAAAAAGCAATGAAAGATAAAGTGCAGAGATTTACTTTAAAAAATTCCACGTATTGATTCCATATGTGCAAGTAATGTGCAACCAAATGTGAATATATGCGTGGAAGTTAGATTATTTATAGCTAGGACATTTTTAAATATGCAAATCGAATTTTTTTTGTAAATTTTTTGACCCTTAATTATGTTCAAATATTATTTATTGCTTCTTTCATGATTTTTCATAGTCATTTTAAAACAAGATACTATGTCAATATTTCATGTTTATTCTTTCTTCATGTCTATTCATATATATCATTTATTTCTTTATATATCTATTCTGTGCAAGCTAAAATTAGTCAAGAATTATCGTCATTGTTTTATTAAATATTAACTTAGTTACCCGATTGTGATATCGAATAATCTTCGACTCAATTACGTAGCTCGAGCGATAGCAAAGAGAACTCTATAGAATTTTAATTAAATTACATGTGTCAAATATGTCGTATATTTGTCCGCGAAAAATATCTACTACTACTATATATACTATATATAGTATACATAGCCCGAATTATTTAATGAAATGTAAGCGTTTAGTTACATCTTCGTTAGTTTAATTGTATATTATATACATTATATGCGTTCTCTATTATACGATTAATCATTTACTGTTTTACTGCCGTGATCAACTATTAATTAGAATCATTGATTAGAAACAGATTTTCTAGCAATGGTAAAACAATGAGATAATCTTGGTCTTGAAAAAAAAAATTGTAAGAATTTTATCGTATAAACAAAATTTTATCATAATAATTTTTAAATTGAATCTATGTATATACGAACAATTATTGTTAAATACATGCATATTAAAAAGCACATAATTGTGATTATGATGATTACTACCATTCTATATTTTTATCTCATTTTCCCTTTCTCCAAATCCCAAAACACTTCTATAAGTTCTCTACACCAAAATAGAAAGTAAATTCGAAATTTACGATCTAACAAGTTTTCTTTACACTTACCTGATGCATAATCATATAATAACAATAACTTTATGATCGTAAGCAGCTGATGGTGTACACTCGAAGTTCTTTATCATCCAAGGATGTAAGAGTGATTGTTGCTTCATATAATGGAGGAGTTGTTGGTAGAACATGTATAATCATTGGAACTTGCTGGTTGGACAACCTCACATCTAGACATACATGTATAAGTAATCAAAATCTCTATTTTTACTGGAAACACATAAGATATAACAATTTACATAAGATACATGCAAATTGAAATATACATGTATTATAGGAATAATGAATATATATAAATATATTTATCTTATCAAACTATACTATGGATGAAAAGAATTATTTCTTGTCGTATAATGCCAAACAAATTCATATGATTCTTTGCCTCTTAATTAATTAAATTAAAAACAAAATTACATCCTATTCTTGCATCTTCAAAACTTAATTCTTGAATTTTCTCTAGATTTTTAATAGTTTGAAAAATTAAAAAGTTGTTGCAGGGGAACATTTTAGTTACGTAAATATCGACTCCAAATTATTCAAAGATGGAATTATTTATGGGTGAATGATAGTAGAAGGCAATGATATATTTTCGCATTTTTGAAAACGATAACAAAGATAAATTAAGTCTATCCTTTTAAATGTACTATCTTGTGTATACAATAGAAAAAAAAATCAAATTAAGCATATACAGTCTGAATCTTACTTGCCTTGTATAGTGAAGCATTCTGGTAGAATAAGAGGACTCAATTTGTCCGAAATTGTAACTTTATATGTGACGGCAGTATTAAAAACATGGACAAATTCCAAAGCTGCGGAATCAACGTCATCTCCCATCAACCATTTTATTAATCGTAGCTCGATATGGGTATCTAAAAACAACATAAGAGAGGAATTAGAAATTGAGTAAAAAAGGTAGCAACATAAAAATGACAATTATTTGTCCACGTGGCAAAATAAATAGACTACCCAGTGAACATAATGTTTCAAATCGGGGACATAAGACGTCTTAAAGACGTTACATCATTAGACGTCTTGAAGTCGTTTAATGACGTCTTTAAGACGTCATATGTCCCGATTTGAGATATGCGTGGTGTCTAAGTATAGAGTTACGAATAAACTAAACAGATTCGGCTAATAATAAGCATTTTAATATCTTTAGTTGTTATACGATTCACTAGAATGACGTACTTAAGTATTTGGACCAGAACAGACGTTCCTTCGATTCAAGAGTTTTTTGAAACATCTGAGCTACACATTTCCGAAGCTGAACATTGCAGGATGGTACAGGTAAGCTGACGTTAAACAAACAATTGTCTCTTACGCCACTTCGCTGATTTGAGCAAATGCATTCACCTTGAGCGGTCCACTCGACAACGAGGCGATCGTTGACCGACGTTTGCCAAACCGAATTTATCTGTTACAATCAATAAGAAACGTATAATTTTATTGAATTATCGGTGTATCTTTAATTTTTTCCAGATTCTAAATATTAAATTAGTGCACATAAAATGTTTTGCTAATTGAAGATATTAGGCTTGTTCGTTTTAGCTGAACTTCTTTTGTACGGTTTCTTTCCTCTTTTTCTTTTCACAATGGAGAGAAAAAGAGAAAAGATAAACTATGCAAGAAGTTCAGCTAAAACGAATAAACCTATTGATACACTATTACATTAGTTATATTAATTTCATAGAGCACAATTTTATATACAATTTATTTACTTATTATATTATTAGTTATCATTAGTTACGCTTATCACTGTAGTTATTGTGCTAAATTTATTTTCAAAGACACGTTTTGGTTGTTTTGTTTAAAGTAATAAGCATGAATTGATTGAATTCTAATGAAACTTGTATAAACTTTTTATATGAATTTAAATTAAAAATGTTACTGCAATTACTTGTAATATTAACAGAGCTTTTGTAGAAAACACTGATGTTAATAAAAGAACTGCAATATAGCATTGATTTCAAAAATTTCATTCTGGAAATGTTTCTTTGCAAAATGAGTCACATGATAAAGTTTTAGTTGATAATGGCATTTTTAGAGTTTTAGTAAAAGAGGATCCTAGCCAAACGACAAAAGAACTCGCTAGAAAAATAGATATAAGTAAAAATAGTGTCCAACATTGATTATCTATTATGGAGTAATAGTTCTTAATGACTGCATAGATTTTGAATAACAACAATAAAGCTAAATAAATTGAATTGTAAAAGTTTTACATCCAAATCCTTATTCACCAGATTTGTCGTCTACAAATTATTATATTTTCAAATATTTCAAATATCATTTTGTAAATAAGAAATAGATTTTTAAAAATAAAGGTATATAATGTCAAAAGAGTTTTAAAACAATTCATTGATTTTTAAAATACAGATTTTTTTGAAAATGGCTTATTCATTGTACACAATTGTTGGGAGAAATGTGTTGATACCAATGGAGCTTATCTTGATTAAATAAGCTATCTTTAAAAAATATATATTATTATAATTATTTATTAAAATATTCAACACTTCATATGCACGTAATATATTTTCTCCATATTTTGAATCATTTATAGACGACCTTGTATTTTCGTCTGTCGTAAAAAAAAAAAATAATTCGCTCGTACTTGGATAATGAAGTCGCCCGTTTTTGCTTGGAAGATCAACCAAAACGTTCGTTGCTTGGGTGTGATGCACGCCACACTGATCGATAACTGCGCCTTTGATGCACCCTCAGCGACTACTATTGATTCCTGATTCAGGAAAAGTCTTCTTGGTATTTTCCTGGCTCGCAATTCGCGCCATCGCGTTATTTTTAGGGTCGCTAAAAATATGTAGGTTACGATTATGTCACATTATATCTGCATATATTGTTATATCTGTATATATTATAAAATTAATAATATTCTGATTATTAAATTATTATTACGCTGTTAAAATTTGTGTCAAGTTATACTTAATTTAAGTCATTTTTAATCATAAACGACATGTTAGTTAAAAATAAAATGTTATTTAATTCAAGGCATTGGTTTAAATTCCATCCTTTAATATTTGACAGTGTATCTTATATCGTTTATCATAAAATTAAGAATAATGAATTAGCTTGGAACATATCAAACGTGTCGAATGCAACTATTACAAATTACTAATATAAACAGTTTTTTTTAGACGTTTTTCAGAATAAAGATAATATAATAAAATATTATAGTTGAGCACGTTGCATTTTGCACGAGTTTAGATAAAAAAGTAACTTTTAGCAGATATGGATTGTTATCGGGTTTTTATACTGGAAAAACGTCGATAAGTTCTTCGTATTTACGGAAGTGAGCGAGTCTTAAAAATCTTCGATATTTCAAAGATTTTATTTTTTCTTACAGGGGTGGCTCGGCCGTTCGTCCGTCATCCATATTTCGTATTCTGCCGCGTTTTGGTAGGGTACATTGATTTTCAGATTTGTTTCGACAATCTCGTACAGTTTGCTGCGTATAGTATACTCGCTCGCAATTCCCAAATTATCGATATGACCCTCCAAGACGATAGTCTGATTCCTTCCGAAATACGGTCCAATAGCCCGTCCGCAAAGCACCAAGTACGCTGTTGGTGAATTAATAAATCCGATGTTACACGCGAGAGTTAAAGAAATCTCATTAAGTAAGTCATTTTGTCCAGTTAAATAAAACGTCCTGTACAATCGGGGTGAGGATTTGGGAGCTTAAAAAAATAATTTAAAATGAGTTTATACTTCACCTCTGTTTTTCCGTATTTTCTTGGCATGAAACTGTATTTGTATTTGGCCGCTGCCGTGCGCGTTTAAACGCAAGACCGATACGGGCTTCAGGATGGTAAAAAAACGATTGACATCGTTTACGAGCAACAATAAATAATTCACAATATTGTCCGTCGGATTCGAAACGCTTATTTGCTTTGTTACGGTTTGGGACAGTGGACAGCTAAATTTGATCTGTAACAATAAAACAAATAACAGTAATGTTGTTCAATTTACACGCGTGATATGAGACTATGTGTTTGAGGATTAAAGTCTTCCATTTAGAAAGTATTAGTAAAAGTATTATAAAAGTATTGCAATATAAAATATAAAAGTAATGGTAAATTTATAATTTTTTTATGCACAAACCTTGGCGCGAGGTACGTACGTCGGCAAAACTTGAAAAAGATGGACGACCAGCATTAGTATTTGCACTTGATTCGGATTAATTAATTGCATTGGCGTAATTATGAAGCCAAGTCGTATTTTCCTCCAAGCGGTGACTAGACAAATAGCGTTATGCAATATCTGCAAAAATTATGTAGTTTACACCCAATATAATTAGAATTGTATCATGATTTAAGATTGCAAATAACGATAATTTGTTAAATTATTACAACCGTCAATTTAATATCGTGTTCTTTATTCTATAATTCTATACTTTCTTCTTCGTCTTTATAACAGTCATGGTAAATTGCATAAAATTAAAAAAATAATACTATTTACAAAAATTATTCTCGACACTGAATTACTTCTTGTTTGTTTCCCGGGCAAATGTACAAGTTGCTGAAGCATTCGTCGATGAGAAAGGGACAGTAGGCCGCGGTAGCCGCGATTAGCACGAGGCTATCTGACAGATCATAATTAAAATTCTGGATCGTGCGACGCTCGGCCACATCCTGCTTTTCTCGCAGACTCAAGATTGCACAGCGATCGGTCATCCAATCTCGCGCACGCTGTTGCTCGTAATGATACTGCAACCAAGCCAGCAGAAACTTTTCTTCCGCGCAACGATCATCGGAAGCGAGTTCGCAGCTTGGCGAATTTGCGATACTCTGAATGGCTCTCTCGTGTAGGTCGTATTGCCTCGGCAAACTAGGAAATGCATACCCAATTAAAGATGCAATTGTAAAATTACGTAACGCAATAACAGACCTCGACGTAGACGATACTATCGATTCCCGATACACCGTGGATCTTCTCGGCGAGGTAGGCGGCGACGTCCAGAATTTACGCTCATGTATTCCACGGAGCACGAAACACTTGTACGTCTGCGAAATCACATCCAACCAGGATTGCTTATTTCGCGACTCGAATAATTGCCGCGGCAGTCGTTCACGTGGCACACAATTCGTATTGAAAAGCCTTTTTCTTCGTGCCTGTAACGTAATTAATCGTAGACAGATAGATCTTCATGAAACTGTAATTTAGCTAAAAGTTTCTCCCGTTTATTGGCCTTTAATGGATTAATTGGATTAATCTTAATGGATTAATTGGATTAATGGATTAATCTTATTATTGCCACTTAAAAAAGCGAGATTATATAAACTCGTATAGCTTATAACTAACATTGCTTTGTACGATGTCAGTGCTAATTAGATAATCGTTGTAATTGAGAAGAAATTGCGGCGAAACGTGAACTAAATACGCTCCTTGAGACAGAAGAAAGTCGAGTATCTTGTTATATAACTGGAGGATGTAATCGATTCTTTCAATATCATTTTCAGGTAACAGTTGCTTCGACCTTGAACGAAGAAACGATGTACTCGAGGAAGCATGTACAATAATTTATTAATGTTACAATATTACAATTCTCCTAGATAAGTGCGAATATTTGGTCCTACAAGCGATTCGAGGACATCGATGAACGATAGCATAGGCACACCGTTTTCCCGTTTAGAATTTCTCACGTATGATCTTTTCTTCATGTGGAAGTACGAAAAAGCTGCCGTAATGCCGTAAGGAATGTTTGGATAAAAACAAAATTTCAATGGTCCCGAATACATCCATTCTTCCATAATCGTCATTATTCTCCCCATATGTTTCTCGTGATCGCTAATAAAAATAAATACATGAAAGATATGAGCAACAGTCATATTACATTTTATAATATCTATAAATTAAATTTGATTTGCAGAATTTTAATTAACTATCAAATTGACGGTTCCTAAATATTCAATAAATCCTTATAAAATCTGGGAAGATATATAAAAGATTCACTGCGATGATTATAACTTAAATAGTAAAACATTATTTTATACACACTTTATACACATTTTATTCTATGCATTTATACTTTCTTAAATAAATATTTGTGTTAATTTTAACTGCCAACTAATTGTCTTAATCATTAAAGTAATAAGAACTGCTTTATGTTAAGCTTCAGTTTAAAGAAGAACAATCTAAAGTCACTTTTAAGCTCTTCCAGTCATACAAATTTATCTTTAATGGCTATAATTCAAGACGTCTTAAGTTCTTACACTAAATATGACAAATAGGACAAATATAAATTTTGTTTCTCATTTTTCGTAACTTACTCTTTTCGATTGCTGGCGGGATAACTAAGATGCAATAATCTGTCGGAGAATTTGCGGTCCCTCGTTCCGAAAGCCATAGAAAGCGCGGAAGGTCTTTTGCGAATCGATACTCGTTTACCGTTATCATTCAGCGTCCGTTTTCCATCTACTTGAATATTCTCGTTACCTATTCCATTATCATTTCTTTCTTTGTTCCAATGCAACTTCGAATCTGTCGTTTTATCGACAAAACTTCTGCTTTGATCATTAAAATGCGAAGTAATACTGAGTCTTGATTCGAGTAATTCGCTCTGAATTTAAACGGGTAGGTTATATTAATAAAATATATGCAAATGGTTCTATTTTGTTCTATTATCAAAACAGATACTTCAGAAAGATATAAAAGCACACTAAAGTCTATGATATTACAGCATATTCTTGTCTGAATAAACGATATTATAAGAAAGACTATGAGAAAGTACAAACCATAAAATTGTAATCATTTTTATCAATTCTGAAGAACGAAAATTAGAACTGACATAATTCTGATAAATCCAATCTTCAATGGCTTACATAAGAACGATTTTAAACGGTCTATTGTTACAACGCGTCAGAATTCAGGATGACATTTTATTCATCTCATACTCCGTATTGTTATATATGTATGAGTGTCGTATATTAAGTCCACTTTAAATAATTATCTATGTATCTATAATTTGTATTAAAATCCAAGATAAAATTTTAATTATAATTTTCTGTACCGCGTAACAGAAAATGCACTTGAAGAACTAAAATACACGCATACACATTAAAAAACACACGATATATAAAATTATAAGCAGAATTTTATTTTAAAAAATCTGACGTGAATTATTCGGTCGTTTAAAGTGAGCTTTATGGGACACGTAAAATTATAATAAAATTTTGTCATATACGTTATTAAAATGGAAGCCAATTGCGACCTTTTGTGATTTATTCACGAATAAATAAATATTATCGCGTATCTGCGATATCAAAAACTGAATTTAGCAGAATTACATCGTCATTCTCATTCTCTGAAGAATTTGTTCCATGGCAAATCGAAAAAGTGAAAAAATAGAAACGCACGTGTCTGCGTGTGCGAGAAATTCCTTCATTATCGTAATCGTCCTCGTCTGTTGCGCTATCCGATGATACTGATGGACACGAGACATGTTTATCCAGATATCTGCCGTAAGTCTTATCAAAGGTGGGCTTCATGGGATACATGTACGTCGTTAGTAAATTATTATCCGCTGTGGCATACACCGTTAAAAAACACGCGGCAAGCGCGCGATCGTCCGAAAATTCAATAGTTAAGCAAAACGATACCGGTTGTTCGCTCTTGAACGTTATTCTTGCTTCAAGTTCCACGTATCTTCTCGCAACAAAAAACAACCTTAAATATTCTCGCATAAAATGTTATTTTTGTTAATTTGACATAATCGGAAAAAGAATAATATAATAATTCTCCGCTACATAAATATTTAAATATTATTAGATTACAATTATTTAATCGTTATATTAATATATTTTTTAACAATACGCGAGAAAAAAGTAGTCCAGCTCACGATTGGGGAGAGACAACGTTGCCGTTCGGGAACTCGACGCGCAACAACTCGTCTTTGTAATCACCGCTCCATCGCGGCGTCGCGGTCGTCGTTAAAAAGTTCGACCGTATAAACGCCGTGTTATCAAAGTGCCTCGCACGGATCCGAAACTTTTCCTCTATCACCACGCCGAGAGGAACGGCCGTGAAATATATCTCCATCGGCTCGACGTCGATCGAACTGGCGGGAAACTCGCCGTCGAGGCGTAATTTATTGAAGACGCTGTCGTCGGGCTCGCCGCGAACGTATATCGGTAACTCCGCGTTAAAGCTGCCGCGTCTTCTCGGCTTGAACTCGAGAACGAAGGAGACGCTACCGCCGGGACCTAAAGTACACTCGATCGAGTCTAACGTCCTTCTAATCTCCGCACCGTGAGACCGCTCTATGGCGAACGGGCAATCAGCTTTGTTAAATTCCTCGATGTTTATCAACATCGCTATTTCCCTCGACGTTGCCCGATTCTCTATGAACAATTCTTCGGACAGCTGATGGCGAAGAATGATAAAAATGGTTGAATTAAAATTAGCTTAAAATGACTCTCAATATAAAATTTACGGTCTACGAAAGCAAACATATTTTATCTCTGTGCATAGAAATTTTGTCTGCATGTTTTTACATGAATCTTTTTGTATTACAGTATTTTTATACTTCTATTTTGAGTTTTCTGTTTTTATTTTATTGGTACATGCGCGGAATCTTACTTTGTTAGTCGCAGCGTTGAATCGGAACGAAAGTTTGCTGAAGAAAATAACGCGGCTAGCCACGGTATAATCGATAGATATAGTCGGCAGCTTATCAGGCAACGGCGTTATAGCAAAACCCGGTAAATGCGCATAATGTGCTTCATGCGATTTCAAAAATTCCGCTGGTCGAATGCTCTTGGGATTCAGCATCGACACCGGACCGAGGAGCTGATTTATCACGATCGGCAAATAGAAAGCGTAGCTGGCCAAATCGACTGGTTGAAAGTGCAGATAAAGAGTTTGACTTGCACCTGAGACGATGATTATCCCTTCCGTACCTTTTTGTTTATCGAATATATAAATTGCAATCAAATTATTCGATTCATTAGCTAAAATTTATAATTTTTTATTTATCTCGCGATTATCAAAATATTAATTATAATTATAAATATATGTTTCTTAAAAAAATACTATTCTCTTGTCGAGATATTTTTTACTTTATTATTTTAGGATACTGCCATGTCTGCTTACCTACTTCCAAATTTTTACTACATCTATATATTTGCCATCCTTTCTAATTCTTCATCGAAGTTATCTTTTACTTCATTATTTTTATACTACCGAACCCGCTTACCTATCTCCAAACTTTTGCCATTTTCCAATAAAGAGACGTGAAATTCGGGATGTTCTTCCAACAAAACTTGCAATTTCAATAACGTTGTCCCGACATTTGTGGCTGTTATCTGGTAAGTTTGAAGAGCGTCAATGCTGAGACGTTTTACGTCTATTCGTTGCGGCAGAAGCTTCAATCGCGGAAATGATACGCTGCCATTTATCCTATATAGTAATTGTAGACATCCTTGAATCGTAACGGCAATTGTTGTAGTAAAGCGACAGCAAACGTCGAACGTAAGATACACCTAAACGATAATAAATGTCGTTTGCATATTGCAAAATTTTACTATTTAAAAGAGAGAGAGAGAAAAATTGATGGAGAACGTGCCTCAAGAATTGCGATACCGCGCGGGGATATCTTCCCTCGTAGCTGATTAACGTTACAGCCGCGTATCAGTGACGCGCTATCTATCTCGTACGTCACCTCGTTGAATTCAAAGTTTTGAAGAACGGCGACCACCCTCGTCGGCAAATTGAGAGGTATTTCCCCCAGATTCGCGTTGTCGCTCACGAATTCGACCTTCGGTACAAATCGCGGTACGCTAAGTCGCAGGGACACGCGACTTCCGCTCTCGCACTTCATCAATGCTTGAGCGTAATTATCTTTAGCGTTATCGGAGTGCTCGTAGCGCACGTAAACGTGTAACGTAGCGTTACCCCGTACGGAACCCGATCTCGGTTCTATATGGAATCCAGACGCCGCTGGCACTTCCCACCTGTAACGAATTTATTATTCTGCGTTGTATTTTAAATTATTCGAGTTATTCTACAAGTTCGAGATTTATCGAGATCACAAGTGGACGCTTAAAAAAAGATTCAATTATTCCTTATAGTTAAACATCTTCAAAATTTCCCATTATGTTGAGATATTGATTCAGAAAAAAGCCACGTCGTATGTATTTCAAACTCGGAAATTAATACTAAGCCAACGATCTGTCCGAGAAATCTCTCATTTATACTCTGAATTTTAAACATACATACATAAATCGCTACTTGCTTTCTCAAATGTTCGCTTGTTACTCTTGTTAGTATATTACTTTTTATGTATATAATTTTTTAATTATTTTGAAACAATTCTTTTATTAGACGAATTATCCTTGTTTACAAAAAAAATGCATTTTACCTGAAACATATTTTTGCATCCAATTTGTTTGTAATTTGGACAACAGAGGCCAAAGGTCGATAAACTTCTCCTTTCGACCATTCCTTCCCAAATTCAATCTCTCTTTTGTCAATATACAGTTGCTTTTGAACGATGTAAGCAGTAATATTGAGCTCGAAAGAGTGATTATCGTTAATCACATAATTGATATATCCATTAAACTTGCCAACTCCGTCCGCAAAATACTCGACTAATCTTGTCATTATCGAGCCTGGTTGCAAGATCATTAAGTGGCCTTCCGGAAAGTAGATGCTCTTGGTTGATAAACTTATTAATCGAATCATCACTGGAACGTCGTTCGTATTCTTTACAACCAAACGACGGTAGTTGAAGCTATTCGGTGCTACCTACCCAATTACTCGATGTCCATGATTAAAATAATTTAACGAGCTTCGATTAGAATCATCGCTCTTGTTCGTACAGTTTATTATAATTCACGAAATCGATGAAATGTTCAAAAGTTTTTATAAATGGTTTCATAGTGTAAAATTTTTTCTAAAAATTTTACTATATAATAAAGAGACAAATAAAAGAGAGAGAAAAATAGAGAGAGAATACATTAAAAATAAATGTTTATGACCTTTATATTATTCCTTTCTCAGATGAATAAGATCTCTTTCTAAGATAATAAGTTTCTGAGCAATTTTTTTGTGATTTTGACACTCTTGATCAATTTTATGAGTTATATAATATTGGATTTACTTACCATTCCAAAGGCGAAGGTGGTTGGATAAATGTGGACTTTGTATATTTGTAAAGGCGATAAAGGTATCAATACAGCTGCCTTGGTTGTCGAAATCGATTTCTTGAACGGAGATCTTACATTTCCCGCAAATCTACTTATTACTTCCGAATAATCTTTATATAATAGTTTCCATTTGGGTGAGCGTAAAAGGCGGTTCATAATTTCCTCGTCATCATCTATTATTTTTGTTGGCAAGCTTTTTTTACCTTTATTAAAAATTCAAGTCAATTTTTAAAACGTCAGGAAATTCAAATTTTTACCGACTGAATTATTTAACGTAAGCTTACTTAAAAGTCCTTTCTTAGACTTGAAAATAATATTCACCGTGCATTCAACGAAGTAACTTCCGACTTTTATTCTTCCAAAGCGTCGTCTGGACGCGGTCGAATCGTAAGAATCTGCTGCGACATTGAAGAACAACTTGAAGGAAGGTTCAACTGTAAAAATAAATTCTAAGCTGTGCTCAATACTTTGGAGCGGCTCGACGGAATTTCAAAGAAAGACCAGAGACACAAACGGGTTAACAAAATACATAGGGTGTTAACAAAATATATATAATTTATTTGTTTAATATAAATATAGAAGCAAAATTTTTGTAGTAATTTACTGCTTTCTTTGCCGCAAACTTTAACGAGAATTTCGATCGACGTTTTCGGCTTGAGTCTCATCCAATTCGGACAGCAACGTGCAGCTGCATTCGGCGCACATTCTAGATATATCGGTGCGACAGCGGAAGGATTTGTCAAGCGAAGTACGCGCTGCGATATCTGACCGACAATTAAGTCTCCGAAATAGAGGGTATCAGGTTCGAGATGCAATTGTACCGCTTCTACCTCACCGTAAAGACAAAGCTTTATTACATCGCAGATTCCTGAATCAGTACTTGATGCACGGGACATTAACATGGATGAAATTTCCATCATTGATTCTTCTGTTCACAAATATATAACAAAGTAATTAATTACATATATTATTTATTATAACTATTACATGATTACCCGAGAAATTATTCAAAAGATTCAAGAGTAATCTAAAGACTTATTTAAAACACACAAACATAAGCTATATTGGTTTTAATAAATTTTTTTAAGATACAAATTATTAGAAAGAAATCACTCACGTATATAAATTTTTTGTGATAATGAATTATCCATCGCAATATCCTTTACAGGCTCAATCCCTGGAGAAATATTATTTAAATAAATATTTATTTAGTTGACTGCAATGCAAAATAAATTAAAAGAGACACACTGGTGATATCATCCGATTCTGTACAATGTACTCTGGCTATTCTAATAAATTGCATAAAATCTCTATTTTTCATTAGACTTGGACATTCATTTTCACATTTGCTCAGCTGCTTCTGCTCGTGTTCTTTTCTCCGTTGCAATGTATTTATTGGTGAAAATCTGCAATTATATATTTATTAGATATTTGTCTTTTAATATGTATAATGTGTATATTTGTACCTTTTATAATAGATCTTGTTCAATATGCAATGATACAATAATTCGACTCACTTTATTTCAAAGATGATACCTTGAAATGGGTTTATTCGCCCTTCAACCGGATGAATTTCAAAAACACTATAAGTCAGATATTGCTTACGGTCAATGTCCTGCAAAAATAATTTTAGTAAGAATCTCATTACATGCAAGTCAGATTGATTAAGTCAGTGACAGGGAATATATCAATTTATCTGATTTATCATATAAAATCCATGCATTTCGAGGATTCCAGCTTAATGACGCTAGCTTATCAGTTATATCTACGTCTGATACTTTTCTCTCGCATATGTTAATATTGAAAAAAAATGTTCAAAAAAAATATATATATATATATATTAAAGACTTTTATAGATTAAATAAACAATTCGATAACTGTTCAAATATATATCTATCTAGACAGTGTTCTACAAATCCTAAACACAGATTTTAATAGTTTTAAATAGAGAATGGTAAAATTATTTTACTAAAGCTTTTCTAAGGACACTTTCGATAATCCGTTACTGGCTAAAATCTTTAATTTATCAGGAACAATTGTTCCGTACCCGAATGCACTTTACTTCGTTATCGATCTCACCGAGGACAACATAACTGCAAGCTCGAGACGAAAGGTTACGCAGGACAAAGGTATCGTACCTACAGGTATTTTCTACCGTAGGTGGAAAATCGATGAGCGTGAAATCTCCGGTCGTATTTGTGTGATAAACTACCAATTTCGGTACAATGACCCGCACTTTGATGGGAACACGTATGTTCGGAGTAGACTTAATCCTGAAAAAGTTCGTACGAATCTTTCTTACGATGATAAAAAGTTATCATGACAAATAGCGAGGACGTCTTACCAAAATTCACTGTAAAAAGTGCCTTCATTTACGCCCATTAATTCGACTTGAAGTTTTATCTCCTTTTGCGGTTTGATTCTTCCACGAAGAGGCTTTATCATTAAGTCTAGATCATTTTGCCCGAGATCAATCGCAAATCTGGAAAATTTTAGATTTTTACCAAATTATTTTATATCAAACATATTTCTTTATATATAATATTTAAATTTATTTTTTATTTGAATAAAATATAAATTGCGCAAAAAGTCTAATAACTGATCTATATATTTACATAAATATAAATAATTTCCATAATCTGAAATTGTCTTTTTATATAACAAAAAAGAAAAATAGCAAGAATTACTTAAAAATATTTTTTAAAAATAAAGATATAAAAAAATACATTGCGATATTATTTCTAATATACGAGAAATTTCTAAAAATAACGTGGATACCTGGTGCTCTTGCTTCCTTCATTACGGATTGTTACTATTTTTAAACCGGACGAATAACCAATATCGATAGTACCAAAGTCTATCAACTTTGGTTCGATGCTGATATATTCGATGGCTAAAGTAGATATCACGTGATAATCGAAAATCTTTCCATTGATTTCAATAGGAATTATTGCATGTGATATGGACGTTCTTTTGAACGTGTAGGTCACGTATGTTGTTATACTTAAGCCAGGACTGATCCGTATGCCACTTTTCAAAGCTTTTACTTGAAAAGCCTATTCGAAAGCGTTAACCATTGAGAATTTCCTATTTCTTAAAATTTCGTAATTATAATCTATTTATGTTAAGCATATTTACTATAAAATTCAGTTGGCGAATTCTGATAAACGCAGGTTTATATCCGATGTTCTTGATAACAATACGTTGTCGATACGTAACTCCTTCGAAGGCTTCGTCGAATTTTATATGACTCGGTGAGATGTATACGTCGTCATATCTTATGCCTGTTGTTAACTCATTCGTAAAAAGTATTGTCTGCATTTCCTGTGTAATCTAATATTGACATACAAATTAAAAGATAGTAATGTCTAGCCGGAAACGAGCGTTAAATGTATAGAGATAGTGCGAATACATTAAATTTTATATCTTTAAAAAGTTTTCTGTTTCTTCTAAAAAGTTGATCTTATTTATATATCTGTATCCTTCGATTTTATTCGTTTTGTTGTATTTAGCTCGTTAAAATATGTTATTTGTTTTAATGTTATTAGTTATTATACTTACGGTTGTCATTGAAAGATTCGTCATGCTGACGTATATAGACGCACGGAATTATAACGCCTATATTATATACTACTAAAAAGAGATTTTCACCGATTAGAATTATTTAAGAATTATTTAAAGATGCATGTCTTTAATTAATATCTTTTAATTAAATAAATAAAATTGTAAATCTTATTTCTGTTTTGACATATTGTCAATATTCATGCTACTCATGTCTGCTTTGTGTTTGAGGGAAACTATTCTTTTGTTTTCGAAAAAAGGAAATAAAATAAGGGATAATATTAATAGAAACGGAATTTAATTTATCGATATGTGGTTGCATCAATAATTTATACAAATAATGAAATTTTTCTATACATATATATATTTTAATATATATTATATGTATAATAAACACGTACACACATTTATAGTTTAATTTTATTTACATACATATTACAATTGAAATTGATTTAGTTTATTATTCATCAAACAACGATGTTATCCCTGTTTGGTTGTTGATTTAAATCAGATAGGCCGATTATAGGTATGCTCTCGATAATCTCATGAATCCAATTGGTGTACATAGAAACCTGTAATAAAAAATAATATAATCTATTAGTATTTTAAATAACATAATTTATTAATAATATAAATAACACAATCTATTAATATAATGAATGGCAATTATCGCGAACAAAGAAATATTATAGGAAATATAACAAAAAACATTGACAGACTTCACTTAAGTGAATAGAATATAGTTTGCAGATAATAAAGTTATAAATATATTACAGATCGCTTTTAATATATTTATTGATATAAATTTATGAATATATTTATGTTAATGTACCTTCGTAAAAACAGCATAAAAGTTCGGATCACATACATTGGTGCCCAATCTCCGTGGACTCACGGAAACAACTCCATGAACTTCCCAAACACTGGAATTCGGCCGCTGAAGCACCAAACCCCCGCCGCTGTCTCCATTACATACCCCAGTACCATTCGCCCATCCAGCGCAGAAGGAAGTGTAAGTTAAATATTTTCGAAAATCTCTGTTCTGGTTTTGACGACACTCGTCGTCAGAAATAATTTTCATCGTAGTTACCCTCAAAACTGGACTGAATGTGTCATTCTCCGTCAGCCCCATGCCTGAAAAATTTCTTAAATTCTAGGAATTGTTAAGGAAATCTATATTTGTTGTTAAACAAATAGTTAATAACTTGATTTTTAAGTTTTATATTAGTGGTTTTCAAATTTACTGAATATTTTATTTTCAAGCAACACACGAGTATAGTATAATAGTAAGAATATTAGCTTCAGAAAGAAATATTAATATTTTTTCTTTTTTCTTTTAAGAAACAATAATAATTTGTCTATATTATATTAAGCAGTATGTGTATAAAATAAAATAAAGAAATATAAAGAATTTATTAAACGTATCAAATAAAAAATTTGATAATTATATTATCTAATAACCTTGTTTTCTCTAAGTAAAAACATTCAATTTTCTCGAACTTTATTCTCTAACTCTATCTAGATTTTTAATGCAAAATTTAAACTTACCGGCAACTAATCCAAGTCCACCGTTTCGCTGGTATTCCAGTAATGTTTCATCGGAATGCCAAGGAACGCAAACTGGCCCAACAACCGAGTTGATAGTCGCAGCTCTCTTTAAAATCAGCAACGCGATGTCCGAGCCGTAGTTACTCTCGTGATCTTGATACGCGTTCTGCAGCTCGATACTTTCCACGTCGATCACCTGCGCATTTTCTCCTACTTGACTTAAATCACTCGAGAGAGTCCCTAAAGCGACGCGCATCGTGTCCGCCGCGGTCTTCCAAACGCAGTGACCGGCAGTTAACACAACGCGTTCTCCGATCAACGTGCCGCCGCAAAAGAATCTCCATTGACCATCTTCGTGCGAAAAGAGGGTGGCTTGCCATGGCAATGTCTCTTTCTCTTCGACGCGCCACCCCTTTACGATCAATGCTGCCGCTAAGAATGTTAACATTTCTTGTACAAGTTAAATAAATTTAAAGATTTACTAACAAATGCCGTTTTATATTGATAAGAAAAATATTTGCACTATAACGATAAAAAAGAACAAAGGACATATTAAAAACTTCTAAAACTCTTCGTGTATTTCTTCCAACTACGACGATTCTAACGAAGCGGTAAAACGATTCTGTTTAATTAATTCCATAAGTATGACAACCCGTCAATTGTCAAACCTGTAGAGTCCCTCATCCCGCAGATAGGAGTACAACTCAGAAGCGATTGACTCCACGTGCCGTCGTGAAGGCACATAACACTGGACGATCCTTTGCTACGCTCGTAAAACGCAGGACATTCGAGGAAAATCCGCGTGCCAACCGGGAGGGGCCGGTCGCAGGGCAGCCACCCCTCGTGAGGACCCCACATCGCCTCGCATCGTTTAATCGCATCATGTGTCTCGGACAGCGCCGGGCATGTTATTCCTTCCGTTTCATTGCCTGAAATATGTTGCACACGATCAATCGTAAGTTAATAATTTATTTGGACAATTTATAGATAAAAAGAGTCTCATTCCGTCCTGGAACACCGGTGGTCCTCGTGGGAAGAATGTTAGGTACTTACTGAAGGTACAACTCGGAATACCGGGAAACCAGCGGTTATTCTGACAATAAATTTCACTGGCACCTTGCAAGGTGCCTTCGACGTCGCAGGCGTAATCGAGGCGCGTGAGCTCGGGAACAACCTCGCCCGGCCGACATCCAGAGCATCCGCTCACGCTATAATGGGTGCCCGCTTTCGCGGCGGGCAATCGGCAGGCACCTTCGGGCAGCGTTATCCCGCACAGAGACTCGTCCTCGTCGCTCCAATCGTGGCAATTAAGTCGAGAGTTACATTTCAGCTCCGATCGAATGCATCCGCCGTAAGCGCAGCGGAACCAATTTTCAGGACATCTGTAAAGATAAAGAACAATCGGTGATCTTTATTGCGTATAATCTCGCGCGAGCAGTAATTTTTTCGTACTCTGAAAATGCTGGAAGTGGATGCTTCGCGAAGAAATTCTCGTTATTTGAATAAGATAACGGATACTAATAAAAATATTTAATTTTTGATGAAATAGTCGATCTCCTAGAACCTGCAGTTCTAAAATTTCTCTAACTATAAAATTAAATTACGGAGAAAATTAAATTACTCGATCGTGAATTATACTCGGCATACGTACTCACGTGCTTCGCACAATTTCGCGCTCTCATCAGATGCGTCTGCGCAGTGCCGAGTACCGTCGCACACTTTAGCTATCGGTAGGCACTGCCGTCTATTCTCGCATGCGAATTCTTGGTCTCTAAAGTAAGAAATAAACCGTCGGAATTTTAACTAACAATTGTTAATCAAGAAGAAATAAAATTTCTTAACCAACCGGCACTCGTATTGTGAACATTCTTCTTGATCCTGACAATCGACAGCTGCGCACGTGCTCGAGTCTTCGTCGGTGCCGTCGACGCAATCCTTCACACCGTCGCAGGCCACTTCCTGATGAACGCAGCCTCCGTACGCACAACGGAACGTGTGCTCGGGACACGTATATTCGCGGCAGATCGTCGTATTCTCATCGCTCCCGTCCGAGCAATCTTTATAGCCTGATAAAAAGCGGAGAGAACACAGAGATAAAAATTTCCAAGTTCAAACGAGTACACTTGTCCTTACGTTGCGTGACCTTGTACCGGCTCATGCAATTTCGCATTAAATCGTCGTCAAAATTAATCTAACGATTACAGACCGTTGCACACCTCGGCGAAAGGTATGCACTCTTGATTAACAGTGGAACACTGAAAATCCCTGTCGGAACAAACGTCGTTAGCATCTCGATCGCAAGCGATCTCGTCGCTGGCGTCCACGCAATCCGCCAGACCGTCGCATCGCGCCGCGCGACTCACGCAGGCACCGTAATTGCATCTGTACATATGCGTGGGACATCTGCAAAAACGAGTTAATACAATAATACAAAATATTCCTTAACGATTATTCGAGTTACCAGCATATTCTATTAATTGCATTGAGAAGAATATTATGCTTGCGCGCACGCGCGCGTGTGCGTGGAGATTGATTTGCATATATGTAGACTTGCATTTTTTCTTCGCAGATAAAAATGTTTTAGCAGAAGAACGCCACAACGTTGGAATAAAAAGTAAAATATGCAAAAAGTATTTAAGACTTTTCTCAAGTATTAGAATGTAATCATAATTAAGTAAAAAAAAAAGGAAGCTTTATCTGTGCTTTAACTATTTTATCTTCAGCAAGAATATCCGGTTCTTTGCGACATTCCTTGTTTAGTGACTAATGGCGAAAGTTAACGGGAAATATCTTCTTACACAACGTGACGACACAGTGTTCCGACTTCGTCCGACGAGTCCGGACAATGAGGGATACCATCGCAAACGTTCGCTAATGGCATCACGGTGCCGTCCACGCAAATAAATGTCAATGATGAATACACTTGGTTATTCTCTTCTGTGGTAACGTATATCCTATTAAATCCTGCAAACTCGCGAATATTAATGATCCCCGTCGCGACTACGTTCACCGCGCACGTTCACAATGTACCCTCTGACATAGAGATTAAATATCCTCAATATAATCACTACGGTCCACTTTATTGTATGCAAACGTACCGAGCATCGTTATAATTAGTGTCGTCAATGCAATCATCCCTATAAAGAGTAATTACTATTTCTAAAAATTGAAATTATTCTTCTCACAAAACGCAGAATTAAGCGAACTTAGCTATCGGCTCTATATATACTCGTAGTTATTTGACAAATTATTCTGACACTCGTCCGTGCATAATTTTTATAGCAGTACGGGAAATTGCATATTTTGTTCGTCCAGTCACAATAGAATACCGTATGAATGCCGTTTCCCTATTATCGAAAACAAAAGGGTGCAGATTGTAAAGTATTGTGTTGCACGTTGTGTTTCCAATAAAAATTGGTTTTGCGTTGATCATTTTCTTTCGAACGATAACGAAAAGGTTTGGAATCAGAGTAGAATAAGATATTATTTTATAATTCGAGTGAGTTACAAATTTAACTTACGCTCTAAATCCTTCAGAATTTCGTTTTGTGTACATAGATACATGTGCTCTCAAGTTTAGCTGATCTATCTTTTATTTATTGATCAAATAAAGCCCTACAATATTTATTGACTGTGGAAAAGTTGTGTGTATTGTCAACTAAAAATTATACCTCTTGGTACAAATAAATCTTAAAAACGTAGATCAATATTTGTTTTCTTTGTATCAGAAATCTCAGTAGAATTTACAGACTCAAATTAAAAAAACTAACAAACGTTTCATCCTCGTAGAAGTGTTGGCGTTTAGTCATCAATAGACCCACTACTTTCATGGAAAGCTATCGTCATCTGTAGATAAGCGAGTAATTCGTTGTTGCGTATCTTGGAATATTCGTCACTAACGATTTAACATTTTTCGTCATGACGTCATTAAAGAAATGTCAATGATAGGAAAGATAGTTATGAAGAACTCCTGGGAAAGAAAATGTGCCTTAATAATACAATAGATTCAAAAATAAGAAGATGGAGATTGTGTGTGTGTGTGTGTGTGTGTGTGTGTGTGTGTGTGTGTGTGTGT